AGGAGCGTGTCTTCTCGTGTTTCTCGGAGCTGAAACTTTTTGCTGCTTTTGTTCCGAAGTTTCTGTGTGCAGCGTTTAACTGGGAATACCGGGAATACCGGGAATACCGAGGATACTGGGACCCAGCGGGACGACACAGAGCCCTTATCCTCGAGAGGAGCCCGGTCTGAGGGGTTTATTCCTTTGTTTTTCATCCGGAGCTCCAGCGTCTCCTCTCCGTTCTCCAATCCGCCTCTCGGAGCCTGTTTCTCGGCCTCGGAGGCCGCCGCGCGCCGCTCCTCTGCTCCGGAGCAGAAACTAATCATCTAAGAAGAACCAGATGTGAGAGGATTACCGGGACTATACCCCCTCTGTGTCCGCTTTAACCCTCCACTCTGTGGGCCTGTGTTCTGGAAGAGTTCCTCCATGAGGCTCCTCTGAGCACCGCCTCTCTGCCCGGAGAGGAGCCGCTGTTCCCGGGGAGAGGAGCCGGAGAGGAGCCGCTGTTCCCGGGGAGAGGAGCCGGAGAGGAGCCGCAGCTCCCGGGGAGATGGAGGCTGAGAGCCGGGGCTCAGGGCTGGTGGTTCTGTTGCCGCTGCTGGTGCTCTGCTGCTGGGCAGAGGAAGGTAAACACCCCCCTAGTTATGTTATATATTTTAAATGTATTATATTAACTATATTTATGAACTGTATTTATCTTCTGATATATGTATTGATTATGTTATAGATACTCTATTGATCCTAACAGGGGGTTCCTGAGGGTTCTGAGTGGTTCTGAGTGGTTCTGAGGGTTCTGTGTGTTCCTGAGGGTTCTGTGTGTTCCTGAGGGTTCTGAGGGTTCCTGAGGGTTCTGTGTGTTCCTGAGGGTTCTGTGTGTTCCTGAGGGTTCTGAGGGTTCCTGAGGGTTATGTGTGTTCCTGAGGGTTCTGAGTGGTTCTGAGTGGTTCTGAGGGTTCTGTGTGTTCCTGAGGGTTCTGTGTGTTCCTGAGGGTTCTGAGGGTTCCTGAGGGTTCTGTGTGTTCCTGAGGGTTCTGTGTGTTCCTGAGGGTTCTGAGTGGTTCTGAGTGGTTCTGAGGGTTCTGTGTGTTCCTGAGGGTTCTGTGTGTTCCTGAGGGTTCTGTGTGTTCCTGAGGGTTCTGAGGGTTCTGTGTGTTCCTGAGGGTTCTGTGTGTTCCTGAGGGTTCTGTGTGTTCCTGAGGGTTCGGGCATAACATCATTAAAAGGTGGAATAAAGTGTAAACTCAATGAACTACTAATCAATAAATACACAATATAACATATTCTGGATAAATCAAAGTGTTCTATAAAAGACAGGTATTTATACTACAGACATATATACAATATTTACTATATTTATATTATGTATTTATATTGATTTCTTATTGAAAATATATATTTAGACATTAAAGTACTCAAATATTAAAATACAGTAGGACATACACAATACTTGTACACAGTGGTGATACTAATAGAGTACTTGTACACAGTGGTGTTACTAACAGAGTACTTGTACACAGTGGTGTTAGTAACAGAGTACTTGTACACAGTGGTGTTACTAACAGAGTACTTGTACACAGTGGTGTTACTAACAGAGTACTTGTACACAGTGGTGTTACTAACAGAGTACTTGTACACAGTGGTGTTACTAACAGAGTACTTGTACACAGTGGTGATACTAACAGAGTACTTGTACACAGTGGTGTTACTAACAGAGTACTTGTACACTGGTGTTACTAACAGAGTACTTGTACACAGTGGTGTTAGTAACAGAGTACTTGTACACAGTGGTGTTACTAACAGAGTACTTGTACACAGTGGTGTTACTAACAGAGTACTTGTACACAGTGGTGTTACTAACAGAGTACTTGTATACTGGTGTTACTAACAGAGTACTTGTACACAGTGGTGTTAGTAACAGAGTACTTGTACACAGTGGTGTTACTAACAGAGTACTTGTACACAGTGGTGTTAGTAACAGAGTACTTGTACACAGTGGTGTTACTAACAGAGTACTTGTACACAGTGGTGTTACTAACAGAGTACTTGTACACAGTGGTGTTAGTAACAGAGTACTTGTACACAGTGGTGTTACTAACAGAGTACTTGTACACAGTACAGTATCTAAATACACGTATTTGATCCCAAATGATAAATATTGACCTGTTTAATGCTCTCACAGTGAGGAATTTCATCAGGAGAGATCTACTGCTTAGAGACCTGGGGCCTGTACTACGAAGCCGGTTCAACCTAACCTGGATATGTTTGAGTTAGCCGGTTGGCCTAATCCAAAACATACGCGCTCTCGCTAAGCGGTCCTACGACGCTGGTTATCAAGTGGATCGTGTCCTATCTAGTTAGGTGTTCACATGAGAGGGGTGGTATCTGGAGCATTCGACCAATCACAGACATGGAGAAGCGCACTGACAGCGCAGCGTCATACTTCCTGAATGAAAAGTCAACTATAATATTAGACATATGAAGAAGTTAAAGTTTAAACATCCATGACTTAAACACTTGATCCAGGATCAAAGCCACAGAGCTGCACCTGCAAGGTGAACACAGCTGGGAACAGAACAAGTGTTTGAATGCGTACATTAACAGCTTTATGATATCACTGCCGTCTAAGACACCATCTGACTTTCATTACATTTGACTCCAGTGTTTCCTCAACTTAATGTGTTGCTTCAAATAATGCTTCTGCATCCAGTCTGTGACGCTGTGAGTGTTGCACGGCCAGATACGGCTCAGCTGACTCAGATCAGGAGATGATACATTATGAAGTGATATGGACTGTACTTAATGTGACTCTGATCCGGTTACTTATGTTGTGGCAGATATTTCAGTAAGCTTTCTTAACGCTAATGTTATAATAGTCAGATTGCTCTGAAGATGGAGCTGATATTCTATTCATGTTCACGTTCACACAGTCGCTGATTGTTGCCGGCCGTCTTTCCTGCGACGGCAGCTTTTCTGTATTTCCTTTCTCCTGTAATATGACTTGATCGCTTTAAACTCCACACTGAGCTCTGATTGGTCAGCAGGCGGTGCTTTCACTGAGTTGAGCTCTTAGCCTGCAACCTATCCTGCTCCGGAGCAGGTTAGCCGCTCAGCATCAGTTACCATGGAGATCTAGCCGCTAAGAAGAGAACCAGCTTCGTAGGACCGGAAACCCAGAGTTACCCTGAAGTTAGCCGCTAAGAGAACATCCTGCTTCGTAGGACAGGCCTCAGGTCCCAGCATGAGACCACACACACGCACACACACACACACACACACACACACACACACACACACACACACACACACACACACACACACACACACACCACACACACACACACACACACACACATTTGAATACTTTATTTGGTTCCACAAATTATATTACATAAGACAGGGAATCAAATATATCGGGGCTAAGCAGCACAGAACACTTAGGGGAACACATAGCACCTCCTTCTCCACACGGCTAAGCTGCAGCCTTAAGGGAACACATAGCACCTCCTTCTCCACACGGCTAAGCTGCAGCCTTAAGGGAACACATAGCACCTCCCTCTCCACACGGCTAAGCTGCAGCCTTAAGGGAACACATAGCACCTCCTTCTCCACACGGCTAAGCTGCAGCCTTAAGGGAACACATAGCACCTCCCTCTCCACACGGCTAAGCTGCAGCCTTAAGGGAACACATAGCACCTCCTCTCCACACGGCTAAGCTGCAGCCTTAAGGGAAACACATAGCACCTCCCTCTCCACACGGCTAAGCTGCAGCCTTAAGGGAACACATAGCCACCTCCCTCTCCACAGGGCTAAGCTGCAGCCTTAGGGAACACATAGTACCTCCCTCTCCACAACGGCTAAGCTGCAGCCTTAAGGGAACACATAGCACCTCCCTCTCCACACGGCTAAGCTGCAGCCTTAAGGGAAACACATAGTACCTCCCTCTCCACACGGCTAAGCTGCAGCCTAAGGGAACACATAGCACCTCCCTCTCCACACGGCTTAAGCTGCAGCCTTAAGGGAACACAATAGCACCTCCCTCTCCACAACGGCTAAGCTTGCAGCCTGAAGGGAACACATAGTCACACTCCCTCTCCACACGGCTAAGCTGCAGCCTTAAGGGAACACATAGCACCCTCCCTCTCCCACACGGCTAAGCTGCAGCCTTAAGGGAACACATAGCACCTCCTTCTCCACACAGCTAAGCTGCAGCCTTAGGGAACACATAGCACCTCCCTCTCCACACGGCTAAGCTGCAGCCTTAAGGGAACACATAGCACCTCCCTCTCCACACGGCTAAGCTGCAGCCTTAAGGGAACACAATAGCACCTTCCTTCTCCACACAGCTAGCTGCAGCCTTAAGGGAACACATAGCACCTCCCTCTCCACACGGCTAAGCTGCAGCCTTAAGGGAACACATAGCACCTCCCTCTCCACAGGGCTAAGCTGCAGCCTTAAGGGAACACATAGCACCTCCCTCTCCACACGGCTAAGCTGCAGCCTTAAGGGAACACATAGCACCTCCCTCTCCACACGGCTAAGGCTGCAGCCTTAAGGGAACACATAGCACCTCCCTCTCCACACGGCTAAGCTGCAGCCTTAAGGGAACACATAGCACCTCCTTCTCCACACGGCTAAGCTGCAGCCTTAAGGGAACACATAGCACCTCCCTCTCCACACGGCTAAGCTGCAGCCTTAAGGGAACACATAGCACCTCCCTTCTCCACACGGCTAAGCTGCAGCCTTAAGGGAACACATAGCACCTCCCTCTCCACACGGCTAAGCTGCAGCCTTAAGGGAACACATAGCACCTCCCTCTCCACACGGCTAAGCTGCAGCCTTAAGGGAACACATAGCACCTCCCTCTCCACACGGCTAAGCTGCAGCCTTAAGGCTAAGCTGCAGCCTTAAGGGAACACATAGCACCTCTCTCCCACACGGCTAAGCTGCAAGCCTTAAGGGAACACATAGCACCTCCCTCTCCACACGGCTAAGCTGCAGCCTTAAGGGGAACACATAGCACCCTCCCTACCACACGGCTAAGCTGCAGCCTTAAGGGAACACATAGCACCTCCTTCTCCACACGGCTAAGCTTGCAGCCTTAAGGGAACACATAGCACCCTCCTTCTCCAACACGGCTAAGCTGCAGCCTTAAAGGGAACACATAGCACCTCCTCTCCACACGGCTAAGCTGCAGCCTTAAGGGAACAACATAGCACCTCCCTCTCCACACGGCTAAGCTGCAGCCGTAAGGGAACACATAGCACCTCCTTCTCCACACGGCTAAGCTGCAGCCTTACGGGAACACATAGCACCTCCTTCTCCCACGGCTAAGCTGCCAGCCCTTAAGGGAACACATAGCACCTCCTTCTCCACACGGCTAAGCTGCAGCCTTAAGGGAACACATAGCACCTCCCTCTCCACACGGCTAAGCTGCAGCCTTAAGGGAACACATAGCACCTCCCTCTCCACACGGCTAAGCAGCAGCCTTAAGGGAACACATAGCACCTCCCTCTCCACACGGCTAAGCTGCAGCCTTAAGGGAACACATAGCACCTCCTTCTCCACACGGCTAAGCAGCAGCCTTAAGGGAACACATAGCACCTCCTTCTCCACACGGCTAAGCTGCAGCCTTAAGGGAACACATAGCACCTCCCTTCTCCACACGGCTAAGCAGCAGCCTTAAGGGAACACATAGCACCTCCCTCTCCACACGGCTAAGCTGCAGCCTTAAGGGAACACATAGCACCTCCCTCTCCACACGGCTAAGCAGCAGCCTTAAGGGAACACATAGCACCTCCTTCTCCACACGGCTAAGCTGCAGCCTTAAGGGAACACATAGCACCTCCTTCTCCACACGGCTAAGCTGCAGCCTTAAGGGAACACATAGCACCTCCTTCTCCACACAGCTAAGCTGCAGCCTTAAGGGAACACATAGCATCTCCTTCTCCACACGGCTGAGCTGCAGCCTTAAGGGAACACATAGCACCTCCCTCTCCACACGGCTAAGCTGCAGCCTTAAGGGAACACATAGCACCTCCTTCTCCACACGGCTGAGCTGCAGCCTTAAGGGAACACATAGCACCTCCCTCTCCACACGGCAGCTGCCTAAGGGAACACATAGCAGCCTTTAAGGGAATCACATAGCAAAGCACCTCCCTTCTCCACACGGCTAAGCTGCAGCCTTAAGGGAACACATAGCACCTCCCTCTCCACACGGCTAAGCTAAAGCATTAAGGAACACATAGGAACCTCCTCCCCAGGTAAGCTGCAGTTAAGGGGAACACTAGCACCTCCTTCTCCACACGGCTAAGCTGCAGCCAGGCCTTAAGGGAAAACACTAGCATCCCTCTCCACACGGCTAAGCTTGCAGCCTTAAGGGAAACACATAGGCACCTCCCATCTCCACACGGCGAAGCTGCAGCCTTAAGGGAACAATGACCATTCCTTCTCCACACGGCTAAGCAGCAGCCTTAAGGGAACACATAGCAACTCTCAGACCAATCACGGTGCTTTTATATACATGGCCAAGACTTCCGAATATAAGTATGCTGTATCTACACTTGTACCCAAAGCTGGTTATCACATCGAGCAGTGGTTGGTATTTGATATACTTGTCCTGGAAAGCCTGGTCCATGCACAGGTCAAAGGCACAGCCTACTTCTAACATTAGCACCTCCCTGTGGAGTCAACAGAAACCACATCAGGTGTATTTGGATGTCAGCAAGACATCATTGGTAAAACCAAACCGTTCTGGTAGCTCTCTAGCGTGCTTGTACATTGCTGCGCTAGATGGTAAGATGTTTCGTACCGCATCAGACACAATGTCCACAGTACGGTCATGCCGGCTATGTACAGGCGTCTGTATGCATTACATCCATGTGTTATGTGTGCAATGGATTCTAGGTGTTGTTGTGAATCCTGATGGTTTAAACAGAATGGAGTGTGAATGCGAGGGTACCAGGTGGACAGGTTGTACTCAGTGGGTAATACCTGCAGTCTTGCTTTGATGGTAAATGTCAGAACATCCTCACCGACAGCGGCGTTCTTAAACACTGAGTGTGAGACTGAGTGGTCAGCAAACCCCAAACAGGCTTTCCCTGTAGTCTGAGTCCACACCAGTGCTGCCTGATCTCAGACTGCTTCGTGCTGAGCAGAACCCTCCTTGCAGAGTCTCTGTGCAGTTCCACAGTCTCTTCCTGAGGTGTTGTGATGTCGGCCTTCACAACCACACTGGGGTCAGTGATCAGTTCATCAGAGACGGGGACTTCAGTCTGTGTGTTGAGTCGTGTCCATTTCAGCTGGACTCCAGTCCGATTGCAGAGGTCATTGAGATCTGGCCAGTCAGACCCCGAAGCCCCTGGCCTGAGAGTCCAGTTTCCCAGAGTCTTTCCTCCTGAAGCCGAGGAAGTTGTTCTGGTCTGCGCTGGCCAGGGGGGTCTTCCTTCTGTGTAGATCCAGCAGGAGAGAGGCCCTGGCCATTTCTCTTACGGTGACATCATCATTGTTAAGCATGTGGATCAGGTGGACTAGCCTGGTGGCTATGTAGGTCCACTCGACATTGGGGACTCCCAGCCCCCCCTCTCCACATGGGAGAAAGATGATGCCCCGTGTGGAGTGTGTGTTGAGGCCCACCCACTTTCTGACCAGCTGGACAGTTTTGTTTGTCATTTCTCTCAGTGCCTTGAGAGGGATGTGTACATTGGCAAAGAGATGTTGAATTGTAGCCAAAGCCAACTCTCTCACAGCCTGGAACCTCATGAGGACGGGGAGGGGGGACAAGTCAATCAGGTGGAGACGATGGAGAAACTCTGTAGTGAGCTCCTCGACCTGCTCCCCCCACTCGCCAGCGATGTTAAACCTGTGGCCAAGGTATGGGTAGGTCTCATTACGGGAATACACCTTAATGGGTTGGCCCATTACAAGAGAGGAGGGGGGCTTGTCGTTCTTGGCCTTATACCAGCGGTTGCCTCCACTGCGGCGCTCATGGAGTACGGCACACTTAGCTTGCTTCACCTCCAGCCCTGACCATTGGAGGAATTCATCAGTGCGCGCCAGCATGTTAATGATGACATCCTCTTGTCGTGATGACACCTGCACGTCGTCAGCGTATCCCTGAACAGGATTTGGGGATTTGACATGCAAAGGAGCGCACTGGTAAATCCACTTCATCCATTGGTTGAGTGCTAGGATGAAGTTCACGGCACTCCAGGGACAGCCAGTTTTTATTCCCACCTTCAGTGCAATCGGCTCTGTGAGCTGCTGCCCACAGATAACCTGGAGGAATGAACCTTGGTACACATTGGATACAATATTCACCAAAGGCTGAGGCAGGTGTATTTCCTCTAATGCTTGTAGCATCACCTCATGGGAGAGTGTACCAAACGCGTCTCTAAAGTCCAAAAACACTGTGTAGAATTTAGATGATCCATGTTTGAAATCATCTATTCCGGTTTTTAAGCAAAACACATGTTCGTTCATTCCCCGTCTGTTGATATATGCTTTCTGATGGGGGGAGAGAATCCCTGTGTCCACCAGCCAGGGTAAGATGCGGGTGAGTCGGCACTTCATAAAGACTTTGTATACAGTGGGCAATAGTGAAATGTCACGCCAAGTGGAAGGATCATCTGGGACATTTTCCTTTTTTGGTATCCTGTGAATGAAGGCCCCTTTCCACGAAGCAGGCACCTTCTCATTGATCAGGCAGGCATTGAAGATGTGTGTGAGTGTCTGTGTTGACGTGGGCCTGGTAGCTCTCAGCGCCTCATAGATGACCCCATCAGATCCACTAGCCTTGTTAGGAAGAGAAGCCAGAACTGCATCCACCTCCTCTGTTGTAAAGTCCTGGGTGTCTGGGAAATAGCCTGGCTCTATTCTGTCAATGAAATTGTACCAAGGGGGCGTGGCCAGGGGAGTAGCCCTCGGCACAGTTTGACATTTGGCTTTATAGTAGTCATACACATTGGCTGTATCACTAACAGTGGGCGTGGTTTCCGGAAAACAGCTGTTATTTAAAATGATATCGATTGCCTTTGATTTGCGGTGTAGCCACAGATATGTCAGCTTGTTCCTGTAAACTTTCCTTTGCTGCCGTTGTGTCTCTGTCCCGGCGGCCCGCAGCGCTGGTTGTATTCTCTCACGGATTAAGCGAAGCTGCATTTCTATCCAAGGTGTCAGCGAGTCAGCTGTAAGGTCCACCGGGAAGTTGGCAGAAAGAGGGAATTTCTTCAGGATTCTGGCGACATATTTCAGAAGCTGGAATCCGTAGGGACGCGAGTTTCGTTGCGTCGCGGAGAATATTCCATTAATGAAAAAAGCGCTGGTCAGGATTGTCACCAGCCTGCCCCACTTATCTGCGCCTCCGGGAGTAACAGCAAAGTTAGATCTTACCTGGAGCAGTTTTGTGTCCAGTGTCCCCCTGCACGCTCTTTCATCTCTCTGGAAAGTAGTCCACTCACAATCTGACAATAATCGCACATATTGCTCGAAGTCTACACGAACATCTCCGGCCGGTGTTGGGCTTGGGTCGCAGACGTTCAGGCGTTGTTTGTAGACCCGCCCGCTGTTCAGGGCTTGTTTAAAGGCCAATCTCAGCGTGGTAACGAGACACATTGCGTACCAAAAGCGTCCAGTGCATCTTATATCCCACTGCAATAACGATGGCAGTTACAACTGCACACACACACACACACACACACACACACACACACACACACACACACACACACACACACACACACACACTCCTGTCTCTCTCTCACTTGTTTCTCTCTCACCCATCTCCCTCTCACCTGTCTGTCTCTCAGAGGTGTTGATGAACACTAAGTTGGAGACGTCTGATCTCCGATGGACCACTCACCCGGCAGAAGACCCTCAGGTAAGTGTTGTTAGCTCAATGCTAATGCTCCCATTGATTCCTATGGAGGATGCTAACGTGTTTGTTCTCAGTGGGACGAGGTGAGCGGATTGGACGACGAGCAGAACAGTGTCCGGATCCACGAGATCTGCACCCCCGACAGCGCGGACTCCTATTGGCTGAGGACGCGCTGGATCCCCCGGGGGGCGGCGACCACTCTCTACGTGGAGATCCGGTTCGTCCAATCACACGCTGACACACAGACACATCGGCCAATCACAGGCTGACACACAGACACGACGGCCAATCACACACTGACTCACGGACACATCGGCCAATCACAAGCTGACACACAGACACATCGGCCAATCACAGGCTGACTCACAGACACATCGGCCAATCACAATCACATTTTTATCCATGTACTTTTTTCTTTTAATGTTTAATTGACAGCACTGTAACTTTTATCCATGTATTTTTTCTTTTAATGTTTATTTTATTAGCTTTTCTTTTTAATGACTGATTTTAAATGCCATTTTCTTAATCTCTTTCATTTTTTGTAAAGCACTTTGAATTGCCTTGTGTTGAAAAGTGCTATATACATAAACTTGCCTTGCCTTGCCTTGCCTTGATACACGGACACATCGGCCGACACACATACACATCAGCCAACTTCCTGTTTACTTCCTGTTAGCTTCACGATGATGGAGTGCTCGTCTAACTTCCTGTTTACTTCCTGTTAGCTTCACGATGATGGAGTGCTCGTCTAACTTCCTGTTTACTTCCTGTTAGCTTCACGATGATGGAGTGCTCGTCTAACTTCCTGTTTACTTCCTGTTTACTTCCTGTTAGCTTCACGATGATGGAGTGCTCGTCTCTGAACCGTCGTCACTGTAAGGAAACGTTCAACGTGTTTTTCTACGAGTCGCCCTCTGACTCGGCCTCTAAGTCCCGCCCCCCCTGGATGGAGAACCCGTACAGGAAGCTGTCCACGGTGGCGGCGGATCACCTGCGGCGGCGCGGGGGGGGCGAGAGGCGGAGCAACGTGAAGACGCTGAGGCTGGGGGCGGGGCCTGTGGATGGGGCGGGGCCTCTGGAGGAGGCGGGGCTCTACCTGGCCTTCCAGTCTCAGGGCGCCTGCATGGCCCTCCTGTCCGTCAGGGTGTTCTACAGGAAGTGCCCCCCCCTCCGGAGGGCCTTCGCCTCCTTCCCCGAAACCATCCCCCACTCACTGGTGGAGCAGGTAACCACGGCAACTCACACCTCTAACAACTTAACCACGGCAACGCACACCACTAACACCGTGACCCTGGCAACGCACACCACTAACACCGTAACCAGGGCAACGCACACCACTAACACCATAACCAGGGCAACGCACACCAATAACACCGTAACCACAGTAACGCACACCACTAACAACGTAACCAGGGCAACGCACACCAATAACACTAACCATGGCAACGCACACCATTAACACCGTAACCAGGGCAACGCACACCACGAACACCGTAACCCCGGCAACGCACACCACTAACACCGTAACCAGGGCAACGCACACCACTTACACCGTAACCCCAGCAACGCACACCACTAACACAGTAACCCCGGCAACGCACACCACTAACACCGTGACCACAGTAACACACACCACTAACACCGGTAACCAGGGCAACGCACACCACTTACACCGTAACCCCAGTAACGCACACCACTAACACCGTAACCAGGGCAACGCACACCATTAACACCATAACCCCGGCAACGCACACCACTAACACCGTAACCCCGGCAACGCACACCACTAACACCGTAACCAGGGCACCGCACACCACTAACACCGTAACCCCGGCAACGCACACCACTAACACCGTGACCACAGTAACACACACCACTAACACCGTAACCAGGGCAACGCACACCACTAACACCGTGACCACAGTAACACACACCACTAACACCGTAACCAGGGCAAATAACATCTACTTTTCAAAATAAGAGCTAAGAGCCTCATCATGAAAGAGTTTATTAAGTATTATCATCTCTTTATTTTGTATTTTGCTCAAGAAATGAAAGTATATTTTTGGGTTTTCAAAATAAAAGCGCTGTCACTTAGCATACATTGCTAGCTCAGTTTAGTTTAGGAACAACTGTTGTTATTGACAGGCTTTTATTTTGCGATGTGTGTGTCCCAGGCTCAGGGTGTGTGTGTGGAGAACGCAGTGACGCCGCCCGGCGAGCAGGCGCGGCCTGCCAGCATGCTTTGCGGCGAGGACGGTCAGTGGGTGGGCCAACCGGTGTCCAGCTGCTCCTGTCGCCCCGGGTACGAGACGGGGGGCAGCGACGTGCACTGCAGGGGTGAGTTTCAAAATAAAAGCACTGTCATTTACCCTTTAGACACGAGACCAGAGACTTTCAAAGTAAAAGCACTGCACAGAGTGCGAGGTGAAGTGTGTTTTTACAGTCAGCAAATGTCCTTCTGTGCAGAACACACAGACACTCACACACAGACACTCACACACACACACACACACACACACACACACACACACACACACACACAGACACCCCTTTAACCCTGAGCAGATTGAAAGCGTTCCTCTCGGCGTCGCTCTGCTGCAAACAGAGTGTGTGTTCAGCTTCCTGTTATTCTTCCAGAGGTCAGAGGTCAGCAGCGGGGGTCCACACACACACACACACACATACACACACACACACACACACACACACACACACACACACAGACACAGGGAGGGGGTTGTCTGAGGTCAGAGGTTAACTTCTCTGCTTAAGCTGCCTATAGAGACTGTTCGTGTGTGTGTGTGTATGTGTGTGTATGTGTGTGTGTGTGTGTG